CTCCCCCCGGGGTTACTGTGTGAGGAGTTTGCATGTTGTCCCCATGTCTGCACCTTCAGCACTCATTGCAACCCTGATTCAATGAGTACTTAAGGTGCATCATTGATATCTGTGGCCACAAAAACCAAAGTGTGACATTAGAGATAACTTACCTCTTGTTATTATCAAATAGCCTAGGGTAAAACTGGTTTGCTATATGTCATTTCACTTAAAGTCCCAATTTCCACGAACGTATCAACAACGTAAAGCGAGGACTTACTGTATCAAAAGTACTTATCAATTTGCTTACCTCAGCTTCACGTGAAGCTATCTCTTTTTCTAAGAACTGCTGTACTACTTCCTTCTCCTTTATCTGCATCTCAAGCTGGCAAATTCTCTCATTTAATTCTTCAGTTTTCTTCTTCTCAGCTTCTAGGTTGGCAGCTAAAGTGTCCTTCTCTTCTTGAACTTCACTAAGCTTACTCTTTACTTCACTTATTGTTTCTTCTAGTTTACTAACCTGAAAGAAAATTTTATGTCAACTAAGAAAACGATATCTACTTAATAGCAAACAAGCAATGTAAATTCCAAAAACCTCACTTGACAAGATACAACCATCACTATCAGTTGCTGTGGGAGGTAGCCTGCCCTCTCATACATTTAAAATGAAACTATTTTCTTCTATGATAGAAAAAAAAAGCATTATACACACATTTATGAACTTACTCTTGCATTATTACCATCATTACTTCTATTAAGCAAACCATCACACAGGCCCTCCAATTCCACCTGAGCAAAGTGCAATTTTTTTTTTTTTTATTATTATTATCACACTGGCCGATTCCCACCAAGGCAGGGTGGCCCGAAAAAGAAAAACTTTCACCATCATTCACTCCATCACTGTCTTGCCAGAAGGGTGCTTTACACTACAGTTTTTAAACTGCAACATTAACACCCCTCCTTCAGAGTGCAGGCACTGTACTTCTCATCTCCAGGACTCAAGTCCGGCCTGCCGGTTTCCCTGAACCCCTTCATAAATGTTACTTTGCTCACACTCCAACAGCACGTCAAGTATTAAAAACCATTCGTCTCCATTCACTCCTATCAAACACGCTCACACACGCCTGCTGGAAGTCCAAAGCCCCTCGCACACAAAACCTCCTTCACCCCCTCCCTCCAACCTTCCTAGGCCGACCCCTACCCCGCCTTCCTTCCACTACAGACTGATACACTCTTGAAGTCATTCTGTTTCGCTCCATTCTCTCTACATGTCCGAACCACCTCAACAAACCCTTCCTCAGCCCTTGGACAACAGTTTTGGTAATCCCGCACCTCCTCCTAACTTCCAAACTACGAATTTCTGCATTATATTCACACCACACATTGCCCTCAGACATGACATCTCCACCGCCTCCAGCCTTCTCCTCGCTGCAACATTCATCACCCATGCTTCACACCCATATAAGAGCATTGGTAAAACTATACTCTCATACATTCCCTCTTTGCTCCAAGGACAAAGTTCTTTGTCTCTACAGACTCCCAAGTGCACCACTCACCCTTTTCCCCTCATCAATTCTATGATTCACCTCATCCTTCATAGACCCATCCGCTGACACGTCCACTCCAAAATATCTGAATACATTCACCTCCTCCATACTCTCTCCCTCCAATCTGATACCCAATCTTTCATCACCTAATATTTTTGTTATCCTCATAACCTTACTCTTTCCTGTATTCACTTTTAATTTTTTCTTTTGCACACCCTACCAAATTCATCCACCAATCTCTGCAACTTCTCTTCAGAATCTCCCAAGAGCACAGTGTCATCAGCAAAGAGCAACTGTGACAACTCCCACTTTATGTGTGATTCTTTATCTTTTAACTCCACGCCTCTTGTCAAGACCCTCGCATTTACTTCTCTTACAACCCCATCTATAAATATATTAAACAACCACGGTGACATCACACATCCTTGTCTAAGGCCTACTTTTACTGGGAAATAATTTCCCTCTTTCCTACATACTCTAACTTGAGCCTCACTATCCTCGTAAAAACTCTTCATGCTTTCAGTAACCTACCTCCTACACCATACACCTGCAACATCTCCCCACATTGCCCCCCTATCCACCCTGTCATATGCCTTTTCCAAATCCATAAATGCCACAAAGACCTCTTTAGCCTTATCTAAATACTGTTCACTTACATGTTCCACTGTAAACACCTGGTCCACACACCCCCTACCTTTCCTAAAGCCTCCTTGTTCATTTGCTATTCTAGTCTCCGTCTTACTCTTAATTCTTTCAATAATAACTCTACCATACACTTTACCAGGTATACTCAACAGACTTATCCCCCTATAATTTTTGCACTCTCTTTTGTCCCCTTTGCCTTTATACAAAGGAACTATGCATGCTCTCTGCCAATCCCCAGGTACCTTACCCTCTTCCATACATTTATTAAATAATTGCACCAACCACTCCAAAACTATATCCCCACATGCTTTTAACATTTCTATCTTTATCCCATCAATCCGGCTGCCTTACCCCCTTTCATTTTACCTACTGCCTCATGAACTTCCCCCACACTCACAACTGGCTCTTCCTCACTCCTACAAGATGTCATTCTCCTTGCCCTATACACGAAATCACAGCTTCCCTATCTTCATCAACATTTAACAATTCCTCAAAATATTCCCTCCATCTTCCCAATACCTCTAACTCTCCATTTAATAACTCTCCTCTCCTATTTTTAACTGACAAATCCATTTGTTCTCTAGGCTTCCTTAACTTGTTAATCTCACTCCAAAACTTTTTCTTATTTTCAACAAAATTTGTTGATAACATCTCACCCACTCTCTCATTTGCTCTCTTTTTACACTGCTTCACCACTCTCTTAACCTACCTCTTTTTCTCCATATACTCTTCCCTCCTTGCATCACTTCTACTTTGTAAAAACTTCTCATATGCTAACATTTTCTCCCTTACTACTCTTTACATCATCATTCCACCAATCGCTCCTCTTCCCTCCCGCACCCACTTTCCTGTAACCACAAACTTCTGCTGAACACTCTAACACTACATTTTTAAACCTACCCCATACCTCTTCGACCCCATTGCCTATGCTCTCATTAGCCCATCTATCCTCCAGTAGCTGTTTATATCTTTCCCGAACTGCCTCCTCTTTTAGTTTATAAACCTTCACCTCTCTCTTCCCTGATGCTTCTATTCTCCTTATATCCCATCTACCTTTTACTCTCAGTGTAGCTACAACTAGAAAGTGATCTGATATATCTGTGGCCCCTCTATAAACATGTACATCCTGAAGTCTACCCAACAGTCTTTTATCTACCAATACATAATCCACCAAACTACTGTCATTTTGCCCTACATCATATCGTGTATACTTATTTATCCTCTTTTTTCTTAAAATATGTATTACCTATAACTAAACCCCTTTCTATACAAAGTTCAATCAAAGGGCTCCCATTATCATTTACACCTGGCACCCCAAACTTACCTACCACACCCTCTCTAAAAGTTTCTCCTACTTTAGCATTCAGGTCCCCTACCACAATTACTCTCTCACTTGGCTCAAAGGCTCCTATACATTCACTTAACATCTCCCAAAATCTCTCTCTCTCCTCTGCATTCCACTCTTCTCCAGGTGCATACACGCTTATTATGACCCACTTCTCGCATCCAACCTTTACTTTAATCCACATAATTGTTGCATTTACACATTCATATTCTCTTTTCTCCTTCCATAACTGATCATTCAACATTTCTGCTATTTTTATCGTTGAATAATAATGCATGGAGAGCACTTGCTTCACCTTTAACCCTTAAATGGTCCAAACGTATATATACGTTTTTTCAACATCTGAAAGTATGTAAAAAAATGTAATCTTTTTTTTTTGTTTTACATTTGAAAACGTGTAAAAAAGAACTTTTATCTACATTTTTTTTTTTGTTACATTTGAAAATATGTAAAAAAAAAAGTATATCTACTTTTGTAGCACTACGAATTTGAACTCCGATTTGTTTGGACCATTTAAGGGTTAAATTATACTAAGTTACATTTCTTATGAAAAAAATGAAGGCTGAACACTCGAGTCAAGCCAAACCTTGTGTAGGTTGTTCGTTGACCTGCTGTTTCTAAAAAAATCCTAACATTACACAAAAAATGTGGTGTGGGTATTTCCTCAGAAAGAAATGTACCATAAAATACTCTCTGTACAGAAGCTTTTCTTTAGCATCCACCTCTTCATTACCCAGGAACCTGAAATGTCCCAGGCATCAGCACATCTTAGGTGTGCTGAGTGCAGACACACATTAACAACCCTGGTATTTTCTGGACTGAAAGATGGACAAGCACACATTATGCCTGGACCAACAAGGTGCACTGAACTGAAATCCACAGATGTTAACAACAAGCAACAAAGATGACATGGAGTTCCAAGATTTTAGTTAACGGGGCAGAATACAAGTCCTCATCAGAGATCATCAGACAACCCCACCCTAGCTCTTGTCCTGTCATTATTCTTCCTGCATGAAATGAATCATTCTCCAGAAAGTTACCAAAGATCACAGGCGCAAAGCACTTAGTCCCCATCTACTGCCTACAAAGAGATACACAGATTTGGCATGGAAGGAAGGAGGGTTAACAGTCACTTCAAGAAGGACTAGACATAAAGGAAGGGAGGGGAGAGAGGTAAAGTTTTTAGTAATAGGGGGCTTGAACAGAGACACTAGTGCAAGTACATTAGCCGAGTGGAGACAAGAGGGTGTTTACAATATGCTGGAGGAATGAAGGGATTCTAGGAAACAGATCCAGTTAGCCAGACTAAAGTTCTAGATATGGGACATACTGTGAAGTGGATGCAAGATATTTCAATCAGGACAGTCATCCGAATTATGTCAGTAACTGAGTGAATAACAGTGAATTCCTTTCCCTCTTTTGGGTCACAATCTAGGTGAAAGATAGTTGGTGTGAAAAAAAATCAAACCTATTTATCAATGCCCCTACAATTTAAAACCTTTAAACCAACCTCAAGAGCTGTACAAGATAAGTACATTGAGATCTTTGGGTGTGAAGTCTGTAGGTGGGTTTAAGATTGCATATCTCAGTCAAGGTATGCCCTCATTAAACAAGCTCATTCCAAATAGGCAACTTTAAACGTTGTTGCTAATAGCCCCATAGATCGACTCCTTTATGCCCCGTTCCAGTCTCAGGTCTCCTAAACTAAAAACAAAGTCTTGCAAGAATAAGGATTAAGGAACACAGGAAAGTAAAGTTAACATTAAATATAAGTTTTACATTAACTACCAGTCCCGAGTGTTTAAGAAAAAGTAACAACCACACTGAGTGCAAATTTCACTAGCAGGTTCCCGGCAAAAAATAATCTGCCCTAAAATATACAAAAAATTTCCACACTGCACAACATAGTACAGTAGGACTGCCCTGTATTCACAGGGGATACGTTCCAAGACCTTCTCTGGACAGTAATAAACCCTATATACA